TGGATGATATTCACCATCAAATGCATTCGAACTTAAAAACGTCTGCTAATTCCATGAAGCTATGTTATGATAAGAGATCTACTGAAGTCAGTCTTTGAACCAGGAGACAAGGTGTGGTTGTATAATCCCAGGAAGACCAAAGGGAAGTCTCCTAAGTTGTCTTCTCCATGGGAAGGCCCATATGACATAGTGGATCGTCTCTCAGACGTGACTTTCCGGATAAAATGTGGTCGGCGAGGTAAGCCAAAAGTGGCGCATGCCAACAGGCTTTGGCGTTATCACGGTCTAGGATATTTCAGTTAGGACGAAGTGAACAAAGGAACAAATGACGCTGCTGAAGAAGTGTCACCTGAAAAAGCCACCGTTGAAGAAGAAACTCTACTCAGTTTTGAGAAGGGAAACGGTGAAGCTCTTGATGAAGTTACTACCACTGACGTGACTGTTATCGACGATAGGACATTTCCTGATGAAGCAGATGAACCCCACGTGAAGCAGAAGCCAATGAGACAGACACCAGTACGGAAGAAGATACGTCCCGTAAAATTAAAAGACTTTGTTGAATTGTAATTTTGTGTTTGTAATTCTGTACATTTAATTAAGTTATTGTTAATTGTTATTGGTTTAATGTAAGTGGCTATTGTTCGGGACGAACAATACTAAGGTAGGGGCAGTGTTACGACATCGAGGTCACGTGACTATTTCCTTATTTCCTATTTCACGTGTCTTTTCCTTAAATCTCGTGATCTTTCTAGATATAGTGTAGTCTTGTATATATAAGACCGGCCACGAAGCGACGGGGAGGGGGGATAATGAGTAATTGAACTGCAGTCAGAGAGTGTGTAATTGAACAGAGTATTGTTGAAGTCGAGCACGTGAGACGTTCGTTGAGAATTATAGCGCGACTGTTGAAATTAAGTGTATCGCAAAGTTATATTCAGAAAGAATAAACCAGTTTTATTTAAGAAAGGACTTGTGTCGCTAAAGTTTCATCGGAACGAATTTACGGAAAATTAACAAACGAACGGAGACGTAACAATACTTTTCAGGCTCTCACTCTGCTACCATAATAAATTATATTAGACCAGGTCATTACAAAGAACCTGAATCTTTAATTATAATCTTAGAGCAAGTAGAAGAAATACTTACTAAAACCGACAATAAACTTATATTTACTTATGATTTGTTCACCAGAAAAGTAAGCGTGAGCAAAAATGATGGAAGCTTTTTAACACTCGACCCTGTGCTATCAGAAGTACTTGGATTTGATACTAATTACATGATAACAGAGCCCACTATAGCTTCATATATTGTTAACATGCATGGAGGAATTTATTCGCTCTATGTTTACTCAGGTATTGTGGAACCTAATATTGTTGGTGATGTATATGTACCGCTGATACGAATCGTTCAAGTTAAATATCAGGATGGAGACGTGATCACTGAAACATTTACAAATCCTCAATACAGACCCGTTTTTAAACAGAATTTTCAGACTATAGAGAATGATATAAAGTACGACATTAGTTGGCCTATGTCATTTGAACAACGAAAAGTGATCGTAACGCTCCATCTTTGCAATCATGAGAGTTCCTTACTATCAAGAACCAGCCGTCTATGATGCATATTACGATTACCAAGTAGGAAACGATTTACCTTATTATGCTGGCAGTCAATGGCAAAGGGGACACGGACTGGGAGATGTTTGAGTAACTTGTTTCGTTCAGCCATACCATTTCTGAAAAAAGGCACATTAGTCTTAGGAAATCAATCTGTTCAGTCAGGCTTTAATTTAGCATCTGATGCCATACAAAGAAAATATTTTGTTGAGGCTGGAAACGACGAGCAATACAAGGAACTAAGAATCAGAGTCGAGATGGTCTACGTAATAAAAACAAGAAACATAAAGGTCCCGTGTTCAGATGAACTAAAACTAAAAGACGAAGAACATCAACTACAGACTTTTTCAACAAGTAATCATGACTCTCTTCCACATGAAAAGTCCTGTCAATATAGAAAGTCTGAGTGAGACTTATTTTCTCTCCCTCCCACGCAAACCATGTTTGAGGAAGGTCAGTTGACCGAATATTATTCTCTATCTTCAGTGACTGACAGAGGACCCATCGAATTTTTTATGTTGGGATCAAGAGGTGAAAATTTAGATCCGGTACAATCGTATCTACATGTAAAGGTAAAGATTGTTAAGCCTGATGGAACCAACATAAAAAAGGATGAAGATACTTCTGCATCTGTCAACTTGTTACTTCATTCTCTATTTTCTCAAGAGGATGTACATCTGAATGACAAGCTCATTTCTTCATCTTACAACCTTTACGTTTATAAGGCCCACATAGAAACTTTACTGACTTATAATGGACCAGCGAAGAGAAGTCATTTGACATTGTCCACGTGGATAAAAGATACGGCAGATAATTTAGACGATCTCGATTTTAACGATGGAATCAAAGACCGATAAATAAATACATGTGGTAGTAAAACAGTCGACATGATCGGTCGTCTACATTCGGATATCGTTTTACAGAACAAGTTCTTGCCTAATGGTGTAAGTTTAAAACTCCGACTCGTACGAAGTAAGGATTCGTTTTGTATTATGTCAAACTATGAGTCGGGATTCAAAATTGTACTACAAAACGTTTCTATCTATGCTAGAAAAATTTAGATCAGCCCATCAGTCGTTCTGTCCGACGCTAAAGCACTTCAGAAAGGAACAGCTAAATATCCTTTAAAACAGGGAAACATACAAG